GATATATACTCGTACATCCCTTGACAATACTACACAACAAAGAGGGAAGAAACATGTAAACGATAAGACTCAATTATAGCATATATATATGTTGCTTTGTATGGTCGTCTGTTTGTAAACAATAGACATGGTGGTCACAGGTGTATCGCTTTTTTTTTAGAGTTGTAGTGTTCCGACGACAATGAGTGGGACTACTCCATTTGGGCATAGATGTGCAAATTAAGATCATTGTCATTATAATGCAGGTATAAGTACATTATGTTCTAACCAAACAGCCTTAACTTAACTAACAGCTAAAAGTCTCAACAATCTAACTCTTAACTTAGATGTTCTTAAACTACATGTAATTGTCCTAGCGGTGTAACAGGCTGTCTGCGTGGGTGGAGTTGCACAAAGCAATCGACTACTTTGTCCAGATTTATGTCTTTGTCGTAGTGGATGTGCATGAGTGCCAGGTTCCTCAGCCGCTGTTTCCCCATTGAGGCACGCATGTAGTTGTTTAGCCTCCGTAAGGCACTGGTGCTCAGTTGAAGTGTTTAATAAGACGTTTACTGTTAACAAGAAGAAAAAACATCAGAAAGTTAAAGGGATACATTAGCAAGTAAGTACAGGATACATTATTTACTGCCGATTAGTGACCCCTGACATCAAAACTACACATACCCATTTTTTAATCAATAACTAGGAGTAACGTTTCAAACTAAAGATCGTTTTGAATTTATATATCCAGCCATGCAAACCTGAGTAACTTTCTTCAGCCATGTGGTCAACCTCTGGTAGACGTCTTTTTGGCTTTCCTTCCTGTTGCCTCCATCATCTGCCCATTTGACATCCATTGCCTGCACTATGTCATCCGAAATGACTGGTGTAGCTGATTTGCGGAGCAGTGACCCAGCCAGCTGGGGCTCAGACTCCAAAACATTGGAGAGAGCAAACAGCTTCAGGCCCTCTCGCAGCTGCTGGATGGCTGACTGTTGTGAAGAGTAGTGAATAAAAAGTACCGATAATGAATACAGATATATAACATGAAAATTGATTTACCAAACAAACAGACTACAATGAAGTGTTCCAATTACTAGTAACCTGGCCTGGATGTCCAGATGACCCTGTTGTGTGGGTTATAATATTCCCTGAAATGCGTTGAAGATTATTTTCTCTGACTCTGAATTGATGTAAGGGCAACAATCCTGTAGAGCATTGGTATCTGCATCAATATTTAATTCCTATACTTAAAAACCCAAAGGTTTTCATTTGAATAAGGCGAACAAAGCCTTCCTGTCCAACCAATACCAAAAAAATACAATACAATACATAAACATTTTTGTAACATGTAGAAACTAATCAACCACAGCAATATTCACTGTTACTATGTGCATCATACTTCAACGTTACATCATCCCTTTCCAACAGCTTTTCCTCGTTGTTCATTACTAGTGAGTCCGATCCTAGAATTGTAGATACAATATTGGAGAAATACGACGATTGGACTTGTTAACCATGATCATCCTCAACAACCTTTACAAGCATTTCCTCCTTTGACCTGTCTCGTAACTGCTTCATTTTGCAATAAGGGACAACACAGAAACTTTGTCCTACCAATTTTCCTATTGCAAAAATGACACTTGTACAATGCAAATATAGGAGCCAGGCCCAGATGTGTCCATGATATTCTTTGGGCCTCCGCCTCATGTACACCTTTTGTTAAGTTTTCAGGCCTAAAGCTAAAACCTCATTACGTTTGTGGGTAATGGCCTAAGGAGTAGGAGGATAAAAAAATATTCCATTGTAACAACTGTTCAGATAGATCAGTCTGCACATGGTTTTCTCTGTCTGCGAATATAGTAGATTCTATGTTAGGACATTCTAATCCTGGCGGTACATCCCATGCCTTGTTGACATTCCTGTACAATGCATGAGATCTTGGCATTCCCTGTTGTTTTCTTTGCAACATGGCAGGCATAAAAGGGTCATGACATAGGGTAAAAGGGTAGCCCATCTGTTTTGACCAACTAAGTCCAAACATGTTCAAACAAACCTCCACAAATCCGTGCTATAGATGTCTTTCCAGTATCAGGTGGCCCAGCCAGAAAACATCACTTGTCTTGGATGCTTGTTTTGGTACCTGGTTGTGGGCATGGGCAGCATGTCCTTCAGCTGCCCCTGCGCATAACGTATGAATACGTCCCTCGTGTCCTTCTGAATGTCAAAGCAAGGGTAGGACAAAACTTGGTCCAAAATCTTTTCAACACTCTTGAGTGCTAAAAATGATTGATTACAAAGATTAGTCAATAACAAATATCAGCGGGTTCATTTTAGAGTCATTTGGACTGACAGCCTTCCAATACCACCCGTTGACGACGATCAGTAAGGTATGAGCCTTCTGTAAGTCTGTGTTGAGTTGAATCAACACCTGAGAGAGTGTAATTTAAGATATTTTACTTAACCTACACGTGAGTGATAACAAATGAAGAAAGACACCAGTTGAAATACATCGTGTTGCATTTTATGTAGAGGGACAGGTGCCAACCCTTGCTTCAAATCGGCTGTCCCGCTGATGAGACCTCCGCAACTTTGCTTGCCCTACGCTGTAATATCAGCCACCAGTATTGCCTTGTGTAGATATCCGGTACTACAATAACCGCTTTTGGTTCTGACAGGATATCAGCGCAGGGATCAGCGGGAAGGGACGAAATGCCTATTGCCTAGGTTCTGGGCGAAAACGTTCACTCCACTGGAGTTTGGAACTGCATGGATAAGGGCTATAAAGGCTCCCCTTTTTTTTCTTGCCTACTGTTACCGAAAATTATGCCTAACAAGTTGGAAGTACTTAGATTCATCCAGTATGTAGAGGAAAAAAGTATAAAGATTCAAAAAAGGTTTGAGTTTATTGATTTTTCATATTCATAATCTATTTCCGGTCCGTTACAATTAGACAACGTTTCGTACAACTGTCAAGTGAGTTCTTTAATATTATACCAAGCAGCTAATGCCTCCGAAATGAAACCTTTTAAATTAAGAGAAGAAACTGAAGTCAGTTGAAAGAAGGGTAGTAATTGCAGACTTAAGCGTGGGTTATAGTCTATCAACTTAGATGAGAACCATTCAGGGTTGAAATATAATTTCGGAATCCACGAAGCTTTCAAAGTCTGATCAAATACACGTAAATGAATCAATTTTAACCCGCCATTCTCCATTGAATTATAAACTACTTTCCTGGCCCCTTTTTTGGACCGTCCTCCCAAATGAAAGAGAAGATCTTTTTTTCATATCTTAAAAAACGAATTATTAGGAGACGGTAAAGTCTGGAGTAAGTTGGTAAATTGTGGGACTACTAAAGAATTAACTACCGTTATTTTGCCATACAGGGATAATGCTTTACCTTTCCATGGACGCAATATTCGGTCTATCCTCTCCAACCTTGGTTCTATATTGGCTTCAACAATTGAATTCATATCAACAGGAATGTGGACACCTAATACATCAACCTCTCCATCTACCCACTGTACCGGTAAATGTGTGGGTAATCGGAAATTTGAGAACTTTAAGAAACCAATTCTTAAAATCTTGCATTTTTCTGCATTTAGCTCGAGTCCTGAAATAAGTGGAACATTATCCATATCAGATAACAAAGCGTAAAACGATTCTAGATTAGGAGTATTTTAAGGGAAAATTGGCGTCGTCTGCGTATTGTGACACTTTGGTGGATTTTCCATACACCTGTAAACCTCTAATAGACTGATTGATTCGTATCTTTATCGCCAAACCTTCAGCAGCTAGTATAAACAAATATAGCGGGGCAATCCCGGTAATTGGCGCAGGCGTAGAAAAAATGTTTCTCCGGCAAACCTTCCTTTAATTGTTTAAGAACTGTGATTCTAGGCAGAGATGATGATAATTAACACAGGGAGAATTATGGCAGAGGTGGCTGACAGGTTGTCCAATTGTACTTGACCAGAATGAGCAATAAATGCAGCTCTGTGTACGACTAGAATTTGTGTGAACAGTTTGGAAACCACGAGATATTGATAGCTCCGTAAGGTGACCTGGAAGATTTTCTACCACCAGTCCAAATCAAACATGATGAAATTGGATGTTGCTGTAATTTAGCCTCTATCTTCTTTTTGTACTCCGAGCACCATTGTTCTACAGCATTCATTAGTGAAGTGGCCGAAAACGAAAAAAACGAGAAAATTTGAATAAAAAGTTCTTTGACTGAATTCTGATTGTGTCCAGATGACTCCTAGTGTCGTTTGGGGGTATCAAGTGTCAAGAAGTTGGCGAAAATACTCACCTTGTTAATGGGTGGGAGGGGGGCTGAAGGCCAATGACCGGTAATGGGGCTTCCTATTGAAATACATGGTAAACATGTAAGAAAGAGGGTGTCAAAAGTCACTTACCAATTAGCACTACAGAGTCATTTTTTGTTGAATGTATAGAATGTGGAAATTTTGCTCACTTACAGGTGAGAACAACAGTATTATTATTATATATATACAGTTTTTCTCAGTCCTGGTCTGATGGGTACTCACTGGAGGATTCCTGTTCTGCAGCACGGGTATACGAATGTTCCCTGTTGTCCCCTTTCTTCTTCTTGCGTTTAGCTTTAGACTGTCCTCCACCAGCTGCCACTGTCTTACTTTTGTAAGTTCCTTGTTCTTTCCTTTCATCATAGGCAGTGAACCGTTGCCTTATCTTCGCTTGCTGCCTAATCTTCTTAGCTGCTTCCATCTTGTATGCCCGCTGATATTTCTGTTTCCTCTCCATCTCCTCCAGTGCAGGAATAGCTGGCGAGTTGGGAGACAGCGGAATACCTGCTGCAGCACGCTTGCGAGCGATCGACATCCCTGTGCCGTTGTTGGATTGTATCGCGGAAGCCACTCTGCCTGGCAAGGTACGAGAGTTGACAACATTTTGGGGGCATGTCTTGCTAATCTGTCTGTTGGCACATTCAACTTTGTTTCTCGTCCTTCCTCGTCTTGTGTTCTTCAGAGCTTCCTTACCTAGCCTGGCGGACGAACGACACCTAGCCTGTGCTCCATTATCCGACGTAACTCCGTGAGGTCGGCACTGTTTGGTCGGATCTTTCCCCTCGCCTGCTCAGGTAAGTCCATAAACTTCCATCTCTTAGGGTGCTTGCAGACAAGAGAACGCTCGTAGCATCTAGTGTGGTCTCCCTCGTAGCAGTATGGGATGACTTCCATTACCCGCTTCATCTTATTCTCCATCGTTCTCTTCTTCCGGAACTTCTTCAGCCCTGCTTTGTGTTCTGCGTTCAGTCGCTTGCTCCGGTCATCACCGAAGCGGTTCCTGACCCTGTCTTTTTCATCCTGGTTCTGTCCCGGGAACATCTGCTTGGACCAGGAGCCTGTGGTCACCTTCCTTTTGATACTTTTAGACAGGTGGACAATGTCTTTGAAGGCCTTGACTTCGTGTTCTGCTTCCTCCATCACCTCCTTCATGCCAGTGGAGAAGCTGCTATCCCAATCTTCTGCAGTGTCACCGACAGGTGTTTTATTGGGACCAGTAAGGAACTTTCTTGCAATTTCCTTGGCAGCCTGTTTCTCATCCCCTATGACGGCCTCCTCTGGGATGTTGGCTGAGCATTTGTGGGGTGGGGGTGACGTCCCTGAAGCCTTACTCATGTTGCAGGTTGGACAAATCTTGTTCCTGACAAGGGATCCAATGACAGCCTTCCATGGCGTTACGTTCTCAACCACATTGGTCACACTTTTGGGGATCGGCTGGCCTGGTTCCTTTCCCCTTGCGTTGCGGAGTGGGGTTTGGTAGCTTGTGTCGCCTTCAATAGGGAGGCCACTGTCGGAAGCGTTGCCTTTCTTTACATGGATGTTCTGCACTGTTTCCCGCCAGGTTTGCAAGTATTTCTCGTTTTCCTCAACCATCAGGTCACTGTACTTGTTAGCACTGTCCTGGAGTCAAGATCTGCTCGGCACTGCTAATTGCAGGGTAGCTGCTATTTCTCTGAGTACCGTCGGTCCTATGGGGCTGTTGAACATTGCAACTTGCATTGCCAGGTTAGGCACAGCCATCTTGGCACCCTGTCTTGCAACCTCACCATAGAACTTTCTGCTGGGTGATTCGTACTGGCAGGTGTCACACACCAGTGTCTCTGAAGTGGCCAAGCCTTTCTTCCTCTCTCGTCGGGACGAAAGTCGGACCAGACCGTTGCAGTCTGGTCGGCGCTTGTCACGCTCTCTCTGTGCACTAACACAGGCGTGGACAGCTATCTTGGCATGCCAGATGCGATACCCTTCCACGTCGTCCCTGTCTTCTTTCTCCCCCACAAGCCTTGTGATCTCGCTGTGACCTGGAAGCTTTGCTGGACGGAGGACCATTCTACTCCCCACCGCGTTCAGAGTTTCGATGTCATTCTGTAGGATGTTTCCTTGCCTGTCTTTGTTGACATATAGACTCTCCTGATCTTCAGTTGGCCGACAATATGAAGAAATCGTCTCTGCTTGCAAGATGGCGAGGCCTTTGTTCCATTGTCTGTTACCAGGCCTGAACTGGCTGCCATGTTGCAGCTTCTTCTTTCTCTTGCGTGCCATGTTGTCTTGGAGATGTCTTGGATGGATAGCTGTCTTCACAATGATTCCTCGTATCGAGTATGGGCTGGCTCTTCCCATCCTCCACTTATAAGGATAACTCACCCGGGGGGAGTGAGAACTTGCACCATATGGAGTGCTCGGCTCAGCCATTTCTTACCTGAGCGTGTCTTGGTGTATGTTTGTGACTGTGTGGCTTGCCTTGTTCCCACGAGAAAGTGGACTTTTCTTTAACGTTTCGGCTGACTTTGTGTGTTACCCAGCATCAAGCAAGTGTCATGTCATAATTTCAGAGTCTGACCATGGCATAAGGGCTCTAAAGATATTCTAAAACTTAATCAAGGTGATTGTGTAGCTATTTTTTATTTAAAATGTGTCACAAACCAAAGATTTTGGTCCCTGACAGAAGAAAACATGAAGATTTATTACATTGCTGCAGTGAATAGTGCTTGACGTTTTCTGTACCTTCTTTCTCAATTTCTTGCCCTCAGACATGTAAATACTGTAAGCCATTTGCTTGTCTGTCACTGCCATGTCAGTAGTGGAATACAGCCTTTGACACCAGGGAAATTTTTTGTTAAAATTCTTCCAATCTTTGAGAAACTGTTAAGAGCTAGCTTCATCACAGTTTAACGATGTTGTCACGTGCAAATTCTCAAGTTCAGGGGGCGCAGGCGTAGAGGCCACACTTTTAGCTGGCAAATGTAGCTATAAAAGTGTTATTTTACTGGAATGTGTTTGGATTTTGGAGCTGGATGTTACAGGTAAGGGTTTTTCCTTTTTGATTGTGTTGAAAAATCTGACTCAACCATTTTTGTGGTGTCCATAGGCTGTAGAAATGTTTTGTTTAGGTGTGGTTTGGATGTGTTAAAGAGGGGTCAGAGGTCATGTTGTTTGTTTTGATTTGAGTATGGACGTGTTCCACCGTATAGAATGTGGAAATTTTGCTCTAGATTGACACTTTAGAGATCAGACACCCCAACCAATGTGAGTTTTTCATGGACTAAAACTTAGGTATACGTAAGTGACTTTTGACACCCTTTTTCTTACATGTTTACCATGTATTTCAATAGGAAGCCCCATTACCGGTCATTGGCCTATGGGGATAAGGGGCAGCCTTCACGTACTCCGCGCCTTAGCAGAAATGGGTTGGAAATGTATCCACTTTTTATTACGGAACTCGTTATATCACTATATAAAACCTTTACCCATTCTATCAATTCTGGACCAAATCTAAACAATTCTAAACATATGAACAAAAAATCCCACCTTAACCCTCAACAGAACACCTTCCCGGACTGATTAATCTGTACACCTGGGGTCCGCGCGGACCCCAGAGCATTTTTTTGCTAATTTTTAGAAATTATCAACATGCTACCAGCTCAATTGTTTTGCAAACTGATGTGGGAACCTCTGTGTCCACATTACATACAAAAATCATACATTTTGAACTTTTTCTATTTTTTGGTGAAGAAAAGAAGACAAGAAGAAATACCCGATTTTTAAACCCATTTCAGACTGAAGGGGCTTTTGAGGCCCAACTTTGATCTCAGATAGCGGCTAAACGGCTTGCGCTAGAAGTATCAAATTTGGAGACCTTTCTTAAAATGTCTCTGGAAAAAAGTTCATATTAGTTTTATACTAGTAAGTTGATGTTTTTTTTGTGTTGCCATGGCAACGGGTAGTTTCTTTGAAAATAGAAGTAATTTTGGTTTAAACATAAAAATTTTCTGAGTTTTATATAAAATTACACTTCTTTTCCAACATTAATAACATCTTACATAATTAAATATCAGTTAAATCATTTAATATGCATAGAATATGCTAATTTGATGACGTCATTGGTCAAAATCCAATATGGCGGACTATATTATTAGCTCTGACGTCATATGACGTCATAATTACACCAAAGTTATTAAAATTTAATTCTATTACTACACCATTCTCTGAAAACTTGGTAGACATACGATGAATGCATAAAAACATATAAAAACGGAAATAAGGTAATGTATAAGAACGCCAGTGTATCCATTATGATCGAAAGCCGGCTGGGGTCCGCGCGGACCCCAAAAGAAAATCAGATATAATTTTTTTCATAAATGTATACGTATTGAGAAAAAATCTTAAGAAACAAAAAAGATATTACAGGATATATAGTGCTGGGGTCCGCGCGGACCCCAGGTGTACTGTTTAGGGTTAAAGTATCAAAAGCTTTCCTATAATCAGCTATGAATATTAATCCCGGGATATATTTTTCATCATATAGTTTATAGTTTCGATCAGTCTCCTTATGTTTTCCCCTATATACCTATTCTTAATGAAACCGGTTTGGTCTTGATCAATGGTATCTGCGATAATTTGCGTGTCACATCCCAACAAGGTAAGTGGTCGCCAATTTCCCATTACACTTGGATCCTTGTCTTGTCCCTTACTGTCTTTTTTTAGCAGAAGGGAAATTATTCCTTGTCTTTGCGTCCCGGACAAGCGCCCATTATTAAAGGCATAATTAAAACATTGTATCATAGGTATCTTAAAGATGTCAAAAAAATGTCTGTATACTAGGGATGCCGTCGTACCCTGGAGCCTTCCCAACAAACAACAAACATACAAATAAAATAAACAAACCATCTTTAAATGTTAAAATAGCTTGTTTTATTTCTACTTCGGTTATCAGACCTTCACAGTTTTGTTGTTGCACATCAGATAAACGTTTACTATATACTCTGCAGGAAAATAATCACTATAATTCGCGTCTGTTAGAGGCACTGGGGGCTCTTCAAAAGAGTACAACTTGGAATAGAATTTTACTTGTTCTGCCAAAATCCTCACAAATGCCTTCACCCGAGGGAAGTTTTAGTCTTTGAATGTTTTTCTACTATAATTTCGGTGAATTAAATTCATAAAATACTTAGTACATCTTTCTCCAAGTTCCATCCAACGAGATTTAGACCGAATTAAAATTCCATTTACTAAGACGTTCATTATAAAGGGCTTCAAGTGACTTTTGTTTACATTTCAAGTCGTCTAATTGAGCAGGGGAGGGAGAGGTTGCACTGTCTATTTGACATTGTAAAGCATTTATTTCATCAATGAGTTTTTTCTCTTTGACAAGGTACTGTTTTTTCCTCCAGCTGGAAAACTTTATACGGTGTCCATGGAAAAAGCACTTAGCAGCATCCCCAACTATCTAAGGATAAGAAGTACCAATATTATTTTTAAAAAACTCAGTCATAACAGATTTAGTATTTAAACAGGAAACTTGTCCTTAAGTAGAGACTGGTTAAAATGCCAATACCCTGGCCCAAGGGGAAAGTCTGCAGTCACAAAACAAACAAGACTTTTGAAAAAAGTTTATCTCGGCCGCTGGCCATGTAGTTTGTGTTCTTGGAGGATGTCCACATAGATTTGTGTAACTGCTAGAGAGGAAAGAATGTATTACCTAGTATGTTCATACCTGTAACACCAAACAGTGTTGGCTTCCTTTGTCATTTGCTTGAATGGAATTAGTGAAAAATATTAATCTCGAAGCAGATGTTGGGAGGGAAAATGTTTAGGTAGAGATACAGATTTTCATTTGTGATTGAAGATTTGAGAGACAGGAAAGAGTTTAGGATATGTATGTGGAGCTAATTTCTCTGTTAGAGTAGGTTACACAGCTCTATGTATGGGGAAGACATTTTTTGGAATCAGTAGTGTCATGTTGTATATTACAGAGGAACTATGTTTCATTTGTATGTTTCATTGAAATTGTAATGTCTGGACAATACTGATGAATAAAGAGCAAAGATGCATGTGTCAAAAGTGAAATGTTTTATTTTGGTATAACTTCATGAGACAACACAAAATGGAGTGGCTACAATAACAGAGCTGTCAAACGTTATCAAGCTTAAGTGCTGTCTCAAGAACAACTGGAACATTGAACATAATTGTTGAACTGTTGTTTCTTAGAACTATATAATGTTCTAATACTGCAAAGGGGATGTCAGAACTATATCAAAATGTACCAACATTAGACAAAACAAAATGGAGTTATTCGTTCAATACAGTAGCTAATGGAAACCCAGTTAAATACGAACGTCAAGTGGAGTGTATATAGAACGTGCATGCTCCCCCCCCCCCCCGGAACCTCAATTTCCAAGCCAGCCTAGCGGGGACCAATAGGCGGGCAGCATTTCGGCCACACCCACAACCCGCGCTTTAGCAAGATATGGTTGAAAAATATGTTTATTAAACTTGTTAAAAAGATACATTTGTAAATTGTTTTCTGAAATTCTGTGTCTTTGAATAGTTGGAGCAAAATAACTACCGAGCCGAGTTAAACCATTTCGGCGCTGGGTTTCAGGTGCTTACGTCGGCCGCGCGGCGTACAACTAACAGTAATACTATAGGCCATGTCCTGTCTTACAAATCTGTATGCCTTGTTTTCCAGCTTCTCTGTGAGCACTATAGCACAGAGATCAGCAGGGAGGAGGTTCTCAGTGAGAACCAGGTCCTGGAGGTACTTCTGCAGCAGCAGTACAACGACCTGAACACCAACGAGGTACTGCAGAAGGTGCGCCTGGTGCATGCTGACACCTTGCCCAACATGGCCAGGTTGGCTGCAGCCATCTTGGTTGTCCCAGTCTCCACAGCAGGTATGAAGCATCAGATTTCTACATTCAACTCAACATAATTCAATGTTCAATTACTGCTGTCTTTATTGTAATACCAAAAATTGTGACTGAATATGACAATAAACTAATACTGTTGACTTTGGGATCTTTTCAGACTGTGAGAGAGGCTTCTCAACAATGAAGAGAGTAAAGACGTGTCTGAGGAACAGGCTGAAGGCTGTGACTTTGAACAACCTTTTGATGATATCGATTGAAAGGCCAGAGGCTGAGGAGTTTGACTTTGACTCAGCCTGTGACAAGTGGGCCAGCATGTGCAAAAGGAGGCTCAGTGTCACCACTTCCATGTAAGCCTCTCTATTGCACATGCTGGGACATCCCATATGCTGGGTT